AATGAGTAGTTCAGAGATGGATACATGACCAGTTGGAACCCATAAGTCACAATGTTGTCAGAGTGACACCACATTTTTTAGTTAAAGGGAGAATTTTTAAGGAATGAAGTAAGCTCTACAGGCAGGGAGCATTGCATCACTTGTACCTGCTATCACACAAAACCTAAGAAAAGTCAGCACAGAAGACAGAGAGCCAAGAAGTAGAAACTGAATGCTAATGACATTGAGTCCCTGCATCAATCCTACTACCTGAAGCCTACCCATGAACTGTTCTGTTACCCGTCATACATCGCCAGTTTGTTTACATCTGTTGGATTTTATTTTCTGTCATTTATATCCAAATGATTCTTCACAGTACAAGGGGGATTCTCAATCCTTGGCTCTGCCTTCTGAGCTCAGTTTTCCCTTATGTGAAAGGAGATAACAATACCTACCCTTCAAGGAGTTGTAAAGATTAAATGGAATAATAAATGTTAGAACATAAGTTTATTCCATAACATAGAGAAGCAAGGAACATCACAGTACTTAATTTTTCTAAATTAAATCTAGCTCAAAACTCACATTTACCAGAGTTCAAAGACATCCATTATTAATCATGATTGGGTTTCTTTCTCCTCTTTAGTGTGGTATACACTGACAAAAAAAAAAAAAACAACCGGAAAAGAAAACCACTTAGAAAAGAAGCTGTTTGAGTCTGGCATGGTTGCCCCTGGGACATGCATTGTCTAAACCCATATGGTCAATTCAAAGGCAGGCGGCTCTACAGCATCTGTGCCAAGTTTGCACACGAGCTTTTTTGTTGCAGTTCCCAAGACTGTGTGCTAGATGTGTAGTGCCCTAACCATTAAATCAGTTCTCCTCTGCCCTGGCCGGTTAAGCTCAAAGGCTAGGGTGTCAGCCCATGGACCAAAGAGTCTCGGGTTCGATTCCAGGTCAAGGGCATATAGCTGGGTTGCAGGTTCAATCCCCCTTCCCGGTCAGGGTCATGTGGAAGGCAATCAGTCATTGTTTCTCTGTCGCATTAACATTTCTCTCTCTTTCCCTCCCTTCCACTCTATCTAAAAATCAATGGAAAAATATCCTCAGGTGAGGATTAACAACAACAATAATAAATCAGCTCTCCCCATTAGAAGTCCTGATATCTCCTAGTGAACTTCTGTACAGTTCTCATCACTCATGGAACCCATCACTACATTTTTTCCCAAGTTCCTGGACTCAATGCTATCGTTGGGCAACTCCTCTTCTTTCAGCCCAGCACGTCTTCCATCTTCTCCTTCTCAAGAACACCCAGCTAAATTAAATTCCCCTCCCACATAAGAGTCTGGATAAAATTATAGACCAGATGTCTTGCAACTTTGAGTTGGGACTAAAAAATATATATCCATTAACAATTCCATAAGACAAGAAACCTAGAATTCCTGAAAGAGAAGAAAACCGTTACCTTTTTATCCCACCGGCAAGGAACAGGAGGCAGCAATTAATAACTTGATAAATTATCCTGCCATAAGTGTAAATTAATTAGCACAGCATAAGTATTCAATATTGCCTTCTCTCAGTGCTCAACTTAACAGTCTTCATCCAAAGGTAGTAAACTGAAATGCCAGGCAGGCAATACAAATGAGTAGAAATGGACAAATATAAGAAAAAATCATAGGCAACCAATCTTTAGCGTTGGCCTAATCAATGAAAATATGGTGAGAATCATGGTGAACTGGAGAGCACATGTCCACTTCCGAAGGAGGGAGCATCGCCCTGGCCGGTTTGGCTCAGAGGTTAGAGCGTCGACCTGCGGTCCTGAGAGACCCGGGTTCGGTTCCCACTAAGGGCGCGTACCTCGGTTGCAGTTTGTCCCCGGCCCTGGTCGGTCTTGCGGGTGGCAGCCACTCGATGTGTTCCTTTCACATCGATGTTTCTCTCTCTCTCTCTGTTCCTCTCCCTCCCACTCTACCTGAACAAAAAAAATGGGAAAATGTCCTCGGGTGAGGATAAAAAAAAAAAAGAAACAAAGGAGGGAGCATCTACTCCTTAACTCTAAATGGCTTTAGTTGATGGGAGTGAGTCCAGTGTTGCCAGATTTTAAGCTTGAAATATTGATTATTATGTACAATGTTGGCTACTCCAGTTTTTAATAAAAATACTACCGGCTACATTGTCTGCGCCAAATGTTACATATCAGTTGGTCATCTTTGAGCCTTTTTATGGTTTCAGCTGCTACATATATGCTGTTAGCTGGCAAATTTACATCTTCCCCACAGACTGCTCTCCCAAGCTTCAGATCCAAGCATCTAATTGCCTCCTGGTTAGCTTTTCCTTGTCACAGGAACCTCAAATTCAAATGTCTAAAATGGAACCCATCACATACACCCTACATCGGTTTCCAGGTTTGTATTCCCTATCTCAGTAAAATGGCACTAACATATACATCCATTTTCCTCTCAGAAACTCTGGTCATTCTCAACTCCCTCTCCCTCTCCCCCATTCCACTGATAACAAAGTCTAATTAGTTGTATCTGTGGGATTCACTTGAACCCATTATTCTCCATTCCCACCATCACTGCTTTGGTTCAGGCCTCATCATTTATTTCACCTAAATTAAAGTAAGACCTCCTAACTAATCTCTTGCTTTCAATCTCTAATCTCCTTGCCCGCATAGCCAGAGTGTTCTTTCCAAGATACGAGGTTCATTTTGTCAGTTCCTTGTTCAAAACTTTTCAATAATTTACCATTGCCTTCAGGATAAATTTCAACTTCTTAGACTGGTATTCAGGGCCCTTTGTTATCTTTTATTTCCAGGTGTATCTCCTACTGCTTCCCCAACCCCACCTCATTAAAATACCTTCATTTTCCCTAATGGGGCATTTTTCTCTACCCTAGCACCTTTACACAGGCTAACCCTACTGCTTGGACTGTCCTTACTTTGCTCCCTACACTCTCATTTTCTTGGTTCCTCAAACCAAGCATTAATTTCTTCTGGGACATATCCCCTGACAAGCAACCCCTTCCCCAGGCTGATTAGATAAACTTTTCTGCCTCCATTGTGCATATCTCTGTTTTATTGTTTATTACTTGACTGATTTTCCCCACTGAAATATGACTTACTTTAGGGACTCTGTCTTTCTTCTGTCTACTCGAGACTGAACACAATACCTGATCCAAACTAGGCACTCGATGAATACATATTGAGCCCTGCCTGGTTTTGCTCAGTGGTTAGTGTCAGCCCGTGAACCAAAGGATTGTAGGTTCGATTCCTGGTCAATGGCATGTACCTGGGTTTGATCCCTGGCCCCAGTCAGGGTCATGGGTGAGGCAACCATATCTCTCTCTTCTCTCTCTCTCTCCCCCCCCCCTTCCACTCTATCTGAAAATCAATGGAAAAATATTCTCAGCTGAGGATTACCAACAACAAAATATATATATTTAATTATTATAATCCAATTTAGGGTAGCAATGGAGAAACCTTTCTTGCCCAAGATCATATGGCCAGTGACAGAACTAGAGAACTCAGGTCTCCTCAATTTTAGTTCAGTGCTTTCCCAGACTAAGCAGGCCTTTGAGGGGGGTGAGGTGACAAGAGAGGCACTATACTAGGAAGACAGAGATTGAAGGTTGGCTCTAAAAAGAAGAGCTGACATGGAACAGAGTTGTTGTTTTAGGGTAAAGAGGAGTAAATGAAGAAAAATGGTTAAGCCCGGCGAGTGTGGCTCAGTGGGTTGAGCATCGTCCCATGGACTGAGAGGTCTCGGTTTGATTCCTGGTTAGGACACATGCCTGGGTTGTGGGCTTGATCCCCAGTAGGAGGCGTGCAGGAGGCCGGCTATTGATGTTTCTCACATCAATGTTTCTTTTTTTTTTAATCCTCACCCAAGGACATTTTTGCATTTATCTTCAGATAGAGCGGGGGAAAGAGAGGGAGGAAGAGAGAGAGAGAGAAACATCAATATGAGAGAGACACATCAAGTGGTTGCCACCCACATGATCCCTACTGGGGCTGGGGACAAACTGCAACTGAGGTACGTGCCCTTAGCGAGAACCAAACCCGGGACTCTCTGGTCTGTGGGACGACGCTCTAACCGCTGAGCAAGACCAGCCAGGGCAATGTTTCTATCTCTCTCCCCCTTCCTCTCACTCAAAAAACAAAAATCAATAAAAACATTTAAAAAAAAGAAAGAAAAACAGGTAAGCACATTTTATTTGTCATCCTTAACATGACTACTTGCCATAAATATCTCAGGCAACCTAAAGTTAAAAAGGAGTTAACTGACATGAGATTAAAAAAAAAAAAAAAAAAGAGGGAGCACACTCCATTTATTAAAGATGGAAAGAGGCTTGTAATCAGGAACCTTAAAAGAAATACATTTAAAAAAATTTTTTTATTGATTTTAGAGAGAGAAGAAGGGAGAGGGAGAGAGAGACATTGATGCATCGATCGGCTGCCTCCTGCACACCCCCTATTGGGGATCGAACCCTCAACTCAGGCATATGCCCTAGCCAGGAATCGCACTGGTGACCTCTTAATGCATGGGATGATGCTCAAACAACTGAGCCACACCAGGCAGGCAAAAGAAATACACTTTTAATATAGCATTTACATGATACAGCATATATACTTTATACAATTCTAAGCATATAAATTTATACATTTAATTCTCAAAACCATCCTATGTGGTAATGTTATTCCCATTTTACAGGTGAAAACACTGAGGCACTGAAAGATTAAGTTTGACTGAGATTTCAGAGGTAGGAAGTGGCAAAGCTAGGATTTGAATGAGGCAGTTTTGATTCTGGAATCCATATCCTCAACCACAATGCCTGAAACATAATTCTGTCTTTGACAAAAGGGGATCACCCAGGTTTCACTGTATGAAGAATGAGCTGTCTCTTGTAGACAATTTTTTTACCCTAAATTCAGGAAGAAGGCTGTTAGGCATGTGGGGGATGGGAGTTCTTTGTTCTGTGATGCAGTGATGACATCAGTATAAACTGCCACTAGGCTGAGAAAGATGGACTGGCTGCTAGAGGGCTTCCTTGGGGCTAAGGGGGACAAGGGGAGTCTCTGTGGCCAGCTGACCCATGCCCTCGCCTGCAGACACTGTGGCAGCAGCTGCCTCCAGAGTACAGGGAATTTAGTGATACTATTCCTGTTCATGATTTGGCAGATCCGAAAGTGGTGGCAGCTTGGGAGCTGGCAACATCTTCAGCCCTGGTACTCTGGAGATGTGATGCAAGGCAAGGTGGGTGACATATATGTACAGAGGGCTAAATGACTATTGACACCACAACTGCATTTTGGTGAGGAATCATTGGCATGGATGTGAGTCCAAGTGAGTGACTATAAGCCTTAAATGTGAGACTGGGTGACTGACCATTGACAGATTTGAAGCCAGATGAGTGATCACTTACCCTAGATGTAGGATTATGTAAGGGATGCTGATCTCCCCATGGGTACTGGGTAATGGCCCTTAACACTGGATGGGTAAGTGACTGTTGACCACAGATGTGGGGCCAGCTGAGTAACTGTTCACTCTGGATGTGGAACAGAGACTGAGAACGTCATGACACACCTTGTGTCTCTAAAAAGGCTGAGAGTATCTTTCTCCATTCCCCAGGGCCTACCACTTCTGTACCAGGTGGCTTTCCTTGGTCATCTGTGGAGGCAGAAGTCAGAAGAGGAAGAAGAGGAGGAAGAAGAGGATAAAGAAGAGACAGTATCTTTGGATCCATGTTTTCCCAAAGCTCCCACTGGAGAGCAAGCTCCCACAGCCCCATCCAAACCATTCTGTGATTCTGAGAGCCTCCACAAGGCCATAGGGACACCAGAGCAAGGACTCATGCAGACTCCAAGCCCTTCCAGATCATTCCCCACCTTTCAGATCCTGACCAACCTGCCTGTGAGGCATAAGACAGCATCAGGGAGTCATCTACAGCAGAGAAAAAGCCAGCTCTTCTGGGGACTCCCCTCTCTGCACAGTGAGTCTTTGGAAGCTATGATCCTGAGCTCAGGTGGCCCCTCTCCCCTGAAGTTACTTGTTGGTCCTTCTGTCTACTTCAACAAGTTTTCCTTCCTGCATGGATCCAACCTGCTGTTTGCCCAGTATTGCTCCCCAACCCAGCTTCCTACCCATAAAGTCCATACTACAAAAGATCTGGAAGAGATGGCTAATGATCTGCAGCAACTTCCCCCTCCATCTTTCTCTTCTGTCCCATCCCCACCACTCCATCTTAAGTCCTTTCCCATAGACCTCAAAGGAGTCCGTTCTGGTGCTCAAGCACATACACAGTGGCTTGTGGATCAAGCCCTGCACCCACAGCCTGAACTCCAAAGAACCAGATTCTCCAAGTTTTTCCCCTCACCTGAGGTCTGGTGGGGTATGCCATGGGATCCTGGCCTCCCACAACACATTCCAAATTCACTCTCTGCCTCTCTGCTGTCTCCTTCTAACCTTCTGGGACTCCTGACTAGGTTTGAGGCCCAATGGAAGACCATGGTGCAAAATAAGGATCCCAAAGCCTCTGAGCCAGTAATACTAGTTCCCAGCCAAACCCTCCCCTCTCTGCCAGAACTCCAGGGAGTCAGTCCTATAGGAGGCCTATATGGATCTGAGGACCTCTGGGAAACTACAAGGCAAAAAGAGAATCCTCAGATCTCTGAGCCTCCCACCCTTGTCCCTTGCCAATCTGTAGCCCCCATAACAGAGCCTCAAGGAACTAGATCCCTGGGAGTTTCACCTGGATGTGAGACTCAGTGGAGAGCCACAGGACATAAAAAGAGTCCTCAAGCTTCTAAACTCCCAATGCCAGCCCCGTACCAACCCCCCAATTCTCTGTCAGAATCCCAGAAGGTCAGCTCTGAAGGAGGATCTTCTATACTTAATGACTTCTGGGGAACCATGGGGCACAGACAGAAACCTGAGACCTCCAGGTCTCCAATGCCAACCCCCTGTCCTCCCTCAGACCCCCTGCCAGAACTCCAGAGAGGCAGTCCCATGGGAAATTTATCTGGATACAAGCCTCACTGGGGATGCAAAGAAAATTCAGGAAACCCACAGGCCTTTGAGCCCCCAACCTTGGACCTCAACCCTGGGTTCTATGGAACTAGCCCTGCACGTGTTCCATCAGGATCTGAGACTTTATGGAAAGACATGCAAAACAGAGAAAATATTTGGGTCTCTGTAGACTCAGTTTCCTCTCCCAGCCTTCCCTCATCCTGTCTGCTGGAGTCTCTAGGAATGGGACCCACGGCAGTCCTGTCTAAGTCCAAAGATTTGTGGGAGACCATGGGGCAGACAGAGAACCTCTGTACCTCTGAGTCTACAGCCCCTTCATGGGGGGACATGAAGCTGAGGGAAATCTGTTGTGTTCCTGTGTCCACGTTCTGGAACCATAACCCACATCCACACTCTATGTCAAAGTTTCACTTAAGTGAGCCTATAGGAGACCAAGGCAACTGTAAGCGTGAGGGGGAAGCAGTAGAACAGAGAGAGAACTACTGGGTCATGCAGCAACCAGCCCCACCTCCCAACACACACACTGCTCATCTACCAGATCCACACATTGACCTTGAGTTTGTGTGGAAGAATGTGCAACAAAAACAGATCCCCCAGGGCCCCAGCCCTCCAGCAATGGATCCCCTGGCGCCAATACCCTGGCCTCCCACCCTAGCTAAGGCTCTGAAGACTGAGCTCAACCAGTCTGGCCTACACAAGGATGAGCTGTTCCTAGAAGCTAAGGCAGAGATCCCACCCTCCCAGAGAGAGGCTGTCCCAGAGATGTCCACCCACTCTGGAATCCAGGCCTGGCACTGGAGTAGAGAATTAGAACTCAGGCTAAAAAAACTACAGCTTAGCTCTGCTTCCAGAACCCCTGGCCCAAGTCAATCATTTGGCAGCTTCCCTGCCCTGAGTTCCACAACTCCAGATACTTGGAGACGCTTTTCCTGCCCCTCACAGCAGACTCATCACCCCAGTCTGTGTTTCCACACTTCAAGCTGTCATTCCCCAAAAGATGAGAACACAATAACTCAGCCTGTCCAGATATCCCACTATTATCACTCCCACTCTTCTTCCCATCCTCAGCCACAAGGGTTTAGGACAGAACAAATGTTTCAGAGAGAGCAAAGAATGAAGGCAAAGATGATGGCCCAAGTGGCCCAGGTCTCACCTCAGGGATCATGTATTCACATGGAGGCTGATGACAACTGCCCAGGCTTAAGAGATCCCTCTAACTCTGAGGTTCCAGTCTCAGGTAACAGACAGGACAAGGCTTCAGTCCTATCTTCAGCCAAAAAGACAGACAGCCCCAGGAAACCCAAAGCAGGAGACCACAGAAGAGCACATGCAAGATTGGGGTCATCCACGGTTACAGGGAAGAGCCACCCAGCCCAGACCAGAAGACTAGTGGAGGCCCATGGAGGCCGACTTTTCCAAAGATCTCAGCACAGGAACCACAGATCTCTACACATCGTTCTCCCCAAGAAGCTTCACTCCAAGGGTACAGGGCCCCAATATAAGCAAGGGGCAGGGCTGAGAGCTGGTGATATCCTGATCCCACGGCACTGTAAGCACTGCCCTTGGGCCCACATGGAGAAGCATCTGTCTTCCCCCACACCTCAGGCTCCCCTTATTAGGGGTGTCCAAAGGGTGTTAGGCAAATTTCTGGGTACCCATGAACTCCTGCCCACCAAATCCAGTCAGCATGATGAAAAAGCTGAGAGTACTGGCATCTGAGGGCTGGGGAGACAGAAGAAATCCTAATAAACTAGCTGAACTAGACAAATCCCACTCATGATTTCTTTGGAGTCTGGGGTACTGGGAATGTCAGTTCCCTACTAAATTCTGCAGCGGGTATATTCCACCAGAATCAGGTCCCTAAAATAGAGAGCTCAGAATTCTGCAGGTTTAATTTTCTTTTCAAGCCCTCCACAGATGATCAATCTGGGGATCCACACATCCCTTGAGGCTAAAGGCCATGGGAGCACAGTTCAATGTTGCCCTTGAGAAAACCTTCACGGCAAGTGAGCAGAAGGAAAATGCATCTATTCACATGAGCACAATTCATCTGGGTCTAGGCAGACCCAGGGTATGCCTGGGTATGGTCCCCTTCTTCACCCACTTGACCCACAAGTTCTCCACATATCTTTCCAACCACTTCTTCTCAGCCCTCTGTTCTTTTTTCTCCCTTGGTCAGCCCAAAAACCATTCATTCCCAAGGCTACAAAAACAAGTGCCTTTCACGTTTAGTGGCCATTTGGATTTCTTCTAGAATTGCCTGTTTATATCCTTTACCCATTTTTCTACTGCATTATTTGTTGGATAGTGTATTACTTTTCTATTGCTGCTATAACAAATTACCACAAAAACAAAACAAAAAACAAAACACAAATTTACTATCAGAAAAATAAAATCACAAGGATGACAGGGTTGCATTCTTTTCTGTAGGCACAAGGTAGGATTTATTCCTTGCCTTTCCTGGCTTCTAGAGGGTGTCCACATTCCTTGGCTACTGGCCCTCTTTCTCCACCTTCAAAGCTAGCAAAGGCAAGTTCTCACATCACTTTGCTCTCTATTGCTTCCCTCTTCCACTTTTAAGGACACTTGCAAATACATTGGGCCCAACTAGATAATCCGAGACTTTTCTTCTCTTAAAGTCAATTGATTAGCAACCTAAATTCCATTTACAGCCTAATTCCCTTTTCTGTGTAAAATAACATATTTATAGGTTGCAGAGATTAGGACATGGACATCTTAGGGGAGTCATTATCCTGCCTACCACAGATATTAACTCAACTTATGTATGTTGCAGATAGTTTCTCCCAATCTGTGGCTTAATCTTATAATTTTAAGGTGATTTTTACTGTACCAAAGTTTTAAATTTTTATGTAATTAAATCTACCAACATTTTCCTTCAGTGGCTTCTAAGATGTTTTATCTGGCACTTTTATAGTTTTATATATTAATGTTTAGATTGTTAACATTTTTTTATATTTAAAAAAATTTTTTTTCTTTGATATTAGAGTGGAAGAGATAGAAACATCAATGAGAGAAAACATTAACTGGATGCCTCCTAGATGCCCCCCAGGGGGATTTTGCCCACAACCTGGACATGTGCCCTGACTGGGAATTGAACCTCTGGGTGCATGGGTCGATGCTCAACCACTGAGCCACATTGGCCAGGTGCTAACCTGATTTTTTTTTTTTTTTTTTATCCTCACCTGAGGACATTTTTCCATTTTTGTTTTTTTAAATCTTTATTGTTGAAAGTATTACAGATACTGATTTTCCCCCCATTGACCCCTTCCTCCCCACTCCTGCCTTTTCCCACACTATTGTCTGTGTCCATGGGTTATGCATATAAGTTCTATTGGTTTATTTCTTCCCACCCCCCAACCCCTTTCCCTTTGAGGTTTGTCAGTCTAGCAAAGAATTTGTACTTCTTAATCCCCTCACCTTTTTCACCCATTGCCCCAACCCTCCTCCCATCTGGCAACCAACAAAATGTTCTCTGTATCTATGAGAATGTTTCTGCTCTGCCTGTTCATTTTGTTTGTAGATTCAATTGTCGATAGATATGTATTCATTGCCATTTTGTTTGTTCATATATTTTATCTTTTTCTTCAAAAAGACCCTTCATCATTTCATATAACAGTTTGGTGGTGATGAACTCCTTTAACTTTTCCTTGTCTGGGAAACTCTTTATATGGCCATCGATTCTAAATGACAGCTTTGCAGAATAATCTTGGTTGTAGGTTCTTGCTTTTCATCACTCTGAATATTTCTTGCCACTCCCTTCTGGTCTGCAAGGTTTTTTTTGAGAAATCAGCTGACAGCCTTATAGGAAGTCCCTTGTAGGTAACTAACTCCTTTTCTCTTGCTGCTTGTAAGATTCTTTGTCTTGAACCTTTTGCATTTTGATGATGATGTGTCTTGGTGTGGGCCTCTTGGGGTTCATCTTGTTTGGACTTTCTGTGCTTCCTGGACTTGTATGTCTGTTTCCTTCACCAAGTTAGGAAAGGTTTCTGTCATTATTGTTTCAAACAGGTTTTCAATTTCTTGTTCTCTCTTCTCCTTCTGGCACCCCCAAGATGTGAATGTTGGCACGCTTGAAGTTGTCCCAGAGGCTCCTTACACTATCCTCATGTTTTTTGGATTCTTTTTTCTTTTTGCTGTTCTGATTAGGTGTTTTTTGCTTCCTTAGATCCCAAATCAATGGTTTGCTTCTTGGATTTACGTACTCTACTATTGAATCTGTGTAAATTATTCTTTATTTCAGTTAATGCCTCCTTCATTTCTGACTGTGCATCCATCATTTCTAAGTTCATTGAGCATCCTTATAAGCAGTATTTTGAACTCAGCATCTGTTAGGTTGCTTATCTTCATTTCACTTAGTTCTTTTCTTGGAGTTTTGTTCTGTTCTTTCATTTGGGACCTGTTTCTTTGTCTCCTCATTTTGGCTGCCTTCCTGTGTTTGTTTCAGTGTATTACTTAACGAGAGGTATGGGGCTATCTGAGACCAGATACTACTTTTTTGAGAGAATTTAGGAAAACCTGAAGCAGGATCCAAGACAAGTCAATCCTATGGTAAAGCAACTGGCAACAGCTTGGGTGGGCCTGAAAGTTGGGTGGGGCGGGGCCTCAGGGAATCACCAGGGTGAGACTACCAGTGTGAGTCAGGTTGCTGGAGTCCCAGATATGGCGACTGTCTGCCGCCCCAGGGAAGGGCTCACCAAAGGAACAAAGGCCTCTGACAGCACATCTGTCGGGGAGAAAGCCCCCTCTCCAGCCCTCGCTCCAGTGCCAGACAGCTCAGTTCTTCCCTGTATGTCTCTGGTGACCCTCGAGCTTCCTCCCCTCCAAGTTTAGAGGGAGTGAGACCAGTAAGTCCGTGTGCGGGCCCTTTAAGGAGCTGCCTGGGGCTCCAGCCGCCTTAGCCTCCCAGAGCCTCAGTTCCCAATGTTTTTTCCAGCCAGAAGTTACGGGGGCTTCTCTTCTTGGCACTGGAACCCTGAGTGGGGCGTCTGGTGTGGGACAGGGACCCCTCAGTTCTCAGGGAGGACCCTCCTGGCCGAGGTGTCCTCCTGATTTTTATTCCGCCTCACGTGGGTGTGGGACCAGCCCGTCTGCCTCTGTCCCTTTACCAGTCTCGATGCGGCTGCTGCTTTAATTCCACAGGTGTAGGACTTCCATTCAGCTTGATTTCAGGCGGTTTTGAATGATGGCTGTTCTGTAGTTTAGTTGTAACTTTGATGTGGTTGAGAGGACGCGATACCACGTTTAACCTATGCCGCCATCTTGACTGGAAGTCCATTTTTTGTTCAGATAGAGTGGGGAAGGAGAAAGAGAGAAACATCGACTTGAAAGGGACACATCGAGTGGCTGTCACCCACACGACCAACCAGGGCCGGGGACAAACTGCAACCTAAGTATGTGCCCTTAGTGGGAACCGAACCCGTGTCTCTCTGGACCGCAGGCCTAACCGCTGAGCCAAACTGGCCAGGGCTGATTTTTTAGTATGGTAGGTGAAAATCTATCTCTCTACCCCCCAATCTCGCTAAACAGATGTCCAATTTTACCAGTACATTTGTTCCTCGCCACTTCGGGCTTCAACTTTCATGGTTTCACTCTATCACATGAAGTGGCGAGGGACACTGTAAACTTTACCTTCAATGTGCCCATTCCTATTGTCTATATCCACCCAATACCAAAGTCAGAAGCTTGTCATCCCTGACTCCTCCTTTCCTCATTCCCCAATCTAATCCATCATCAATCCCTACTAATTATGTATATTTAACCCTATGATGTGTATTTCAAATCCACTTCCTTCTCTCCATCTTCATCATTAGCGTAAGTTCAGTAATCATTTCCCATTCCTCCTTAATCCATCCTTCATATGGCTACAATTATCTGGAGGTCAACTGACCCAAACTCTTCAACAAGTATCATAAAAGTGTGAGTACTATTGCCCTGGCTGGTGTGACTCAGTTAGTTGAGCATAGTCCTGTGCACTAAAGGGTTGCCAGTTTGATTCCTGGTCAGGGCACATGTCCATATTTCTAGCTCAAGCCTGGGTCAGAGCACCTGGGGGAGGAAGCCAATCAATGTTTCTCTCCCTTCCTCTCTACAATCAATAAAAACATTTTTTTAAGTTTTGAGTACTGTAATTAAAAATAAAAAAATTTTAAATTACAATATAAACACGGAGGAAAAAATACTAAGTATTATTTCTAGATAGAAAAATAAAAGTTTGAGTAAAGGAACATAACAGATGCAACCTGTGGTCCTAGAATGTATATTGGTTTGGTCAAAATAGTTGTGAATGGCATATTTGGGTCACCTGGGAAACTGTGAATATGGCATGAGGATTAAAGGAAAAGGTAAAGATTAATGTTATATTTTTCTAAGTTTCTACAATGCACATTACCGCTTCTATAAAAATAAAAGGTTATTTTAAAAGTGAACTTTCAGCCCTAGCTGGGTAGTTCAGTTGGTTAGAGCATTGCCCTGATACACCAAGGTTGCAGGTTTGATCTCCAGTCAGGGCACATACAAGAATCAACCAGTGAATGCATAAAATAAGTGAAACAAACTAATGTTTCTTTCTCTCTCCCTTTATCGCTCTAAGATAAATTTTTTAAAAAGTGAATTGTCCAGCTGTACAATTGATAACTGTTAAGTAAATTTTGGCTTTTTTTCTTTTAAATCCTCACCAGGGAATATTTTTCCATTGATTTTCAGATAGAGTGAGGAGGGTGAAGGGAGGGAGACACATCAATCGGCTGCCTCCCTGCAAGACCCCAACCACAACCAAGATAAGGCCCTTGGACGGAACTGAACCAGCAACTCTCTTGTCCGCTGGCCAATGCTCTAACTGCTGAGACAAACCAGCCAGGGCAAATTTTGGCTTTTTGCCGTAACTTTTTAAAAGAGTGAGTCCTCTTAGCATTGAAATCTGACTCACTTCCCTGCCTAAACCCCCCCCCCCCAGAAGACCCACAGTATCTTTGAAGTTTAAAGTTCACTCCTGGCATATGAGAGTCTTCACAATGTGGCTTCTGACCTATTCAAATTCACTCCAGGATTCCTCTACTAGTCAACCTGATGTTTATTCTATGTTCTCTGCCCTCTGTGCTTTTTGCTAATTGCTCTCCTGCACTTCTCCATGTCAAGTTTCCCACCTTCCTTTAATGCCCAACTCAGAGCACCTCCAGAGCCTTCTCTGATTCTATCTTGGTAGCTTATTCCTTCTTGTAGCCACATAACAAATTGTGCCTTGTTGACAGCACCTGTTTCCTGGTAGTATGGCAATCAAGCCCTTCAAAACAAAGTGAGATGCTGTGAGGTCAAGTCCACATTCCCAAACTAGTGTTCTTTCCATTCTACAATACTCCCTCTACTGTGTATATTTGGTTGACAAAAACAGATAGTACATGTTGTTCCTCTACCTCTTCTCACTAATGTCACTATTCTGTTTCCAAAGCTTTATTTATAGCCCAAACCTGAGGGCCTGAGTCCAAAACTCACCACCTGCTGGTGAAGGGTGGAACTGGAGGTACTTTCCTTCTCCCTATCAACCCCCCCCCACACACACACACACCACACCCCAAGTCTCAAAGACAATGGAATTCTGAATTTCTACTCAACAGAGGGATATTTAATGAATCTATGCATCTCTGGGTAGTTTCATGAAAATGCCAAGTCCTACATTCTTGCTTTGGGGTAGGGGGGTAATCCTCACCTGAGGATATTTTTTCATTGATTTTTGGATAGGAAGAAAAACATCGATGTGAGAAAAGTATGAAGATTGGTTGCCTCCTGCATGACCCCAACCAGTGCTGGGGACAACCAAGGTGTGTGCCCTTGACCAGGAATCAAACCTGCAACCCTTGCCCTGGCCGGTCTGGCTCAGCAGTTAGAGTGTTAGCCTGTGTTCCAGGAGAACCCGGGTTCGGTTCCCGCTAAGGGCATGTACATCAGTTGCAGTTTGTCTCCGGCCCTGGTTTGGTCGTGCGAGTGGCAGCCACTCGATGTGTCCCTTTCATGTCGATGTTTTTCTCTCTCTCCCCCTTTCCCTTCTACACTATCTGAACAAAAAATGGGAAAGTGTCCTCGGGTGAGGATTAAAAAAAAAAAAACACAAAAAAACCTGCAACCCTTCAGCCTGCAAGACTGACGCTCTAACCACTGAGCCAAACCAGCCAGCGCCTACATTCTTCTCTTTTTAAGGATTCAATAGGTCGTAGGACCAGGCAAAAGAAACAAATCACTTAATGTTTGCCACAATTCACTGGAATTAATAATTGGCAGACCCAAGTTCCTCATGGGTATTGTGTGATGACAGACTCTCAGGGCAACATATTATCTGGGATCCAAATATATCAAGATGCTAGACTTACAGGTCCATTTGTGGCATGCTGTTATTCCTCTATGTCTATTTGATGCCATATTCTTAAGTCAAAAACCCACCTTTTAATCATAGCACTTAACCTATGGGAAGAAGGGGTTAGCTACAGAAGGGGTTACCTCATTCCAATTTCTTTCTGGGAATATGGTAGGGGAAAAGACAGACTACTGATAAAACTTGCCTCTTGGGTTAAGTACACAGGCTTCTGAAGATGACATACAGTACCCTCACTGCTTCCTGCAGTTTATGAAGCACTGTCAAATCATTTTATCAGAAAGCTACACTGCTGTAAACTCAAGTTCCAGCACTAGAACCAAGCCTCTCACAAGTCTGGTCTTGGTTTTTCCTAAAGAATCCAGAGTTCCAACTATCTTCCCTCTAGACAAACTGTGAGACAAATGAAAACAAAGCAGTCATTCCAACACAAATTTCTACAACTTATCTACATATTTTGTGGGAAAATACCACTTGTCTTCTGTTATACTCCCATAATTTGATACAGAGGTATTAAATGTCTTTCCCTGAAAGATCTTGTCTTTACCCCTGAGGTTAGGCTGCCAACCCATAGGAATGAGACAATGCTCACAGTGGGGAGAAGACTGAGGGCTAAGCCATTGGGATACCTAAATTGTGGGACAACACAAGAACCAAAGACAGAATCTGGTGGACACAGTGTCATGGAAAAGAATGGACAGCCCACTCAAATCCCAAAAAGGCAAAAATATCTATTTCACAGCACCTGAGTTCAAGATGCCCCAGTGTAATCAGAGCAGCCAACAAAATTATCTTGTGTCCATGAAGATTATCTATTTAGACCAGATGAGAGTTTGGTATAAGTACTAGGACAACCAACACAAATTTGACTCAATGAATAATTTTCTCTGCACCATACTCTTCTTTGGGTAAGGCATCATGGTACTGACCCCAGAAGCACAAATGATTTATGATGGTAGCTGCTGAAGAAGAGGACCCTCTATACCTGGATGAAACTATGCAAGCAATCATCTGAAAAACAGAGCAGGGAGGATGTTTAATTTAGAAAAAAAAAAACACATCCAATACTAGAATTTTATATTAGAAAAAACTTTTTTTTTTATAATACAAATAACATAATATAAAGGTGGGCACAATAAGTAATCCTCAACCAGAGCATAAATGTTTGGGATTTTTTGATGCACCAAAAGAATATCCACCTCTAGACAGACTATTTTCTGCAACCCTAAGATATTTGGAGGGTACCCAATCCAGTTCTTGGTCAGGAAAAAGGAACTCTCTGCAGACCTAGCCTTACCACCCACCTCAAATGTACATTAAGGATGTCACATTGTCCATATCTGGAACTCCATCAGGCTATCCTCCATCTACCACAGTCCTATCCAGTGATACTGCAGACATGGGTACTGCAGACGTGGGGCTAAGCAGCAGTATCATACCAATATAAATCTGGAGGGGAAGAGAGCACAATCTTACAGGATTTCACATTTGGAAGAATGCCTTGGCAGTGAAGGGTAGCCCAAGGCCCTTCCCAGAAAAAGAAACAGGCACAGGGGCCAGAACTCAGGCTCCATTTTGATCCAACGTTTATTGTCCTTTTACAACATGTCATTTTTTGGTTTAGAAACTGCTTGTGATTAGTTTTCCAACATTAACTCAAAAGCATGTAAAATAAAATCAACCTACTCTCTATAGAAACACCCAGCAACTGTAGCCCTTCACCCTCCAGCCCAGGTTGGGTAGGGGGAAGAAGGGAGGGCTCCAGAAGCACTGAGTGCAGATGCTTTACGGTGGGGAATAGCGGTAGTGCCTTGGTTCACACCCACACAGGACCCCTGCACTGCCCCAAACTAGAACAGAAATGACATAGGCCCAAGGCCCAATTCCCTGTTGGTAATTCACTCTCCGCCTCCCAAATGAAAATCGCTTTTATTTTATCGCTTTTGTTTTGTATTTTTTTTGCAACAGAAACCCCGTCCAGTCTGACTGTAGCTGAACTGTTCAGACTGAGGAATGGAGCAGGCCGTGGGCGCACCCCTGGTCCCTCCTGGGCAAGCGCCCCCGCCCTCAGGGAACAAGGTCCAGCCAGGCCAGCTCGAAGCACACTGGCCACCACCACTTAGCCATACAGGTCATCATCATTGTCTTCTGTGTATACACTGCCACCTGTGCCGCCTCCACTGCCCTGACTGGGGCCAGCTCCACCCTGGTTTCCTGAAGGGAATCTGTGTGCACAAAAGCAAAACAAAATAAATAAAAATATAAAAAGGGGGGGAGGGAGGGGAGATTAGGATAGAACCTGTATAGGATTTTTACAACTACCCCTCTAGCCTCTAACTTAGGACTCCCACTAACTTGGTTGTGCAGTTACCAAGACAATTTAAGCATTGCCCACTGTAGCCTAGTTACCTGAAACTGCCAAAGCCCCGACTCTGCTGAAGTGTCTGAGCAAACATTTCGTATTTTCGAATGTCATTGTCACTGACAGAACGTCGGGCAAAGCGCATGGCTTCCTCAAAGTGATCTCGGCGGATCTCGGGCACTGGATCATCTTCTTCTACCTCCTGTAGGGTTGGTAAACACAGACCACTAGGGTAATTAAAGTCCAGCCTGGATCCCTTCCCTGGCCTTCCTGCCTCTTCAATACAACCTGAGTAAGTCACTAAGCCAATCTTTCTAAAACTGAGTGACTGCCCTGCTTAAAAACCTGTCAGTACATCCTGAAAAAGGCAAAACTACAGGCACGGAAATCACACCAGTGGCTTAGGGTGGTGGAAAAAAAAAACAAAAAATGGACTAAAGTGGCCCAAGGGAACTTCTTAGGATGACAAAAATTTCTATCTCTACTGTGGTAGTAGTTATAGGACTTACACACATTTTTGGAAAGTAGGTAAATAGTGTACCTAAAAAGGGTGAATTTTTACTATACGTAAATTATGCTGCAGTAAACCCAAATTAAAAAAAAAAAAAAAAAAAAAAGTCAATGGCTCTCAGTGTTTACCACATCTTAATTACACCTTACTTAGTGGCCTCACTTTCAGTAAATTTGCCCAGGTTTTCCCAATTTCTGTAATCCTACTTTATAGCAAGTTATTTGGGCTGCTTATTTTATCCAAATTCTACTCTCCCTTTAACAGCCCAGCTCAAACCCTATCTCTTCTACTGAGAAGCCATTCCAATTGCTGTGACTAATGAGACTGCTAGGATTAGTTTATCAGTAGTAGTTAAACTTTTATGGAAGACAGGTGGGATGTCACAGACCCCCCTCCAAAAGGTAGAGAAAGCCATCCATTAACCCATCCATCCATTCTCTAACATGTGTTACAACACAGTGGGAAACAGGCAAGATGATATGGAGTACCTATCATTATGGAGCTTACACTCACACAACAAAATTTGCATTTAATTTTAGGAGGCCCGTGGGACTATCATGGTTCTAAACCTTGCTCTATTTGTTCACCTGCATGATCATACTTCAATTTCCCTTATGGAGTCTACTTCACAGCCTTTATAATTCAAGACTTGAAGGTGTTAACCCCCAGTTCTTCTTTCTCTTTGATACCCTGTTAAATGCCTAAGTCAGATGACCTTTCGAAAACCTTACACTCTTCTAGGGAATGGTGGAGACTGCCCCCTGGATCCCCACAACTGGCACATCTGGGGAAAGGATGCAAACTCACCATGGCTGATGGGTTGGTCTGCCTCTCTCGGTCTCGTCTAATCTCACTCTCGATGGATTCACGAATGGCCAGTTTACAGGCACGTTGGCAAATCTCTGTCAGGTCAGCTCCAGAGAAGCCATTAGTCATCTTAGCCAAGAACTCCAAATCCACATCCTAAAAGTAACAGAGTACCTTAGCATTTAGTCTCTCCTCCCATGATACACAAACACATCTCTGAGCTACTCAAGCACTTCCAATTCATCCCATTTCTCACCACTGTTTTATTCCCGATTCTAGATTATCCCAATACCCTCAAATCTTCCATCTTCCCTTTACAACCCAAACCCCAGAAATGCCCATGAAACCTCGTCTGGGAACCAAACAGCACTCCACTAGCCTGAGGACTCATAGAAGTCCCCCTGGCCCATGATCTTGCACCTGCCTTGGCCACTGGGGACTTGCGTAGGTTGGCCTTGAGGATGGCAACACGGGACTTCTCATCAGGAAGTGGGATATAGATGAGCTGATCAAGGCGACCAGGTCGCAGGATGGCAGGATCAATGATGTCAGGTCGGTTGGTGGCGCCAATGATAAAAACATTCTTTTTTGTGGACATGCCATCCATTTCTGTCAGGATCTGGTTGATAACTCGGTCAGCAGCCCCGCCACCATCTCCAATGTTACCACCACGGGCCTTGGCAATTGAATCCAGCTCATCAAAAAACAGTACACAAGGGGCAGCTTGGCGGGCCTGTGGGAGGGACAGATGGACTCAAGCATTAGCACAACTGGATCTCAGACCTGAGAAAGAAAATAAAGTGACCTTCATTGCCCCAGCTGTACTGCCAGAATGAGGTGGGTTTTTTTTGTTTTTTTTTTATTTTTTATCCTCACCCGAGGACATTTTTCCATTTTTTTTTTGTTCAGACAGAGCGGGAGGGAGAGAGAGGAAGAGAGAGAGAGAGAGAAACATCGATGTGAAGGGACACATCAAGTGGCTGCCACCCGCACGACCAACCAGGGCCGGGGACAAACTGCAACCGAGGAACGTGCCCTTAGCGGGAACCGAACCCGGGTCTCTCAGTACCGCAGGCCGACGCTCCAACCGCTGCGCCAAACCGGCCAGGGCCAGAATGAGGTGTTTTTAACTTTCCCAAAGAAACAACCTCTTTCTCTACCTTGCCTCCAAGCAAGTGAATAGAGAGCCCAGTTGCTTATAGCTCACCTTGTCAAAGATTTCTCTGACATTGGCCTCAGACTCCCCAAACCACATGGTGAGCAGCTCAGGACCCTTGATGGAGATGAAGTTAGCCTGGCATTCATTAGCAATGGCTTTAGCCAGCAAGGTTTTCCCACAGCCAGGAGGTCCATAGAACAGTACTCCCTTAGAGGGTGTCATGCCAAACTTGAGGAATTTGTCTGGGTGCTCCACAGGATACTAGAATGAAAAAGAAAAAGGGTTCAGGGATATACCTACAGTTTGAAAGAAACCTAACAAAACAGAAGTCTACCCCCACCATCCCATGGTGTAAGATACAGGTTCTCTAGCAGGCTCCTTAGTGCCTCAAACCTGTTTCTGAATTATTCTCACAATTCCTGCAATGAATGTGCCAATACCCCAAGACTAATCAGCTCAATTACAAAGTACCTAAGCAGTGACTCACTCTGAACCAAGATACCCTACCTGAACCAGTTCCTGAAGCTCACGTTTGACATCCTCCAGGCCCCCAATGTCCTCCCAGGTTACCTGTGGCACCTCCACCACAGTTTCCCGCAATGCTGATGGGTTGCTCTGGCTCAGGGCCCACTAAAAAGGGAAGAAAAACTGGGGATGAGATTCTCCAGGGAAGGCATCAAATTACACATGTGGACCTAAGATGTGAATGTAGTCCTTACCCGGAAGTCATCCATAGTAACTGCCAGGGAGTTCATGACTTCAGCATCAATGGTTTCATCCTCTAGGTCAATGAGGTCCATCTTCTTTCGGATGGCTTGCAGAGCAGCCTCCGAGCACAAGGCTGCTAGGTCAGCACCCACATGCCCATGAGTCTCATTGGCTACCTGCAGATAGAAGATCTACTTACTATCCTATCACTAAGACTTAGCTGCCTTAGGAAGGCAAAAACAGCATCCTGGCCCCTCTCCCTGACTTCTCTTTCTGGGTCCTCCCATTTATCTGGACACATGCCAGTAGTCTTTTCACTGGCAAGATTTTAAGGTGTTTTTTTTTTTTGTTTGTTTGTTTGTTTTTAAAGATTTTAAGTATTTAAATCTGGACTTGGAGCCTGGAAATGAAGCTTCCCCCAAAATTCTGGTTTACTCTAATACAGTGTCAACCAAGAAACATGCCAACTCCAGTTTCCTGGGTTCAATCTAAAATCACTTCCTTTTCCCTGCCCAAAATCAAAATCTTAAGTTTATATTCCTAGCCAGTTCCCTTCAACTGCCTGGAAATAGATATCCTAAAACTTCTGGCCAGCCCTCATCACTACTCCACCTGTTCCAGGTCCACATCATCTGCCAGCTTCATGTTCTTGGTATGGATCTGAAGAATTTCCAAGCGTCCTGTAGCATCAGGGATTCCAATATCTACCTCCCTGTCAAAGCGACCTGTGGGACAGTGTGTGAACATAGACAGGGCTCATTTCTGGTGCAGAGCGAAGAAGGAATAGGCCTAACACGACCAACCATCCTAGTTTGCCCAGGACTGTTCTGATGTTAGCACTCAAAGTCCCATGTCCTGAGAAACCCCTTAGTCTCAGGCAAATCAGGACAGCTGGTCACCCTAGATAAGATCCCTGTGCCCCATCACTACAAAAAGCCTCAAGAAACAAGCAGGCCCTGCCCAGTTGTGCTGTGTTTAGAGCGTCAACCCATGGACCAATGAGTTGCAGGTTTGATTCCGGTCAAGGGCATGTACCTAGGTTGCAGTTCGTCCCAGGCCCTGGTCAAGTTGTGCAGGAGGCAACCAGTTGATGTGGCTCTCTCACATTGATGTTTCTTTCTCCCTCCCTCCCTCCCTTCCTCCCTCCCACTCTATCTAATAATTCAGTAGAAAGAGAAAAAAAATGAGCAGGATTAGATGACTTAAAGGACAGATATGGAATTAAAAAAGATTAAGCCAAGTACAGCTATAATCTCTCTATGAGCAAGGAGAGTTTAAAGAAATTTAGGGTCCTTACCAAATCGCCGTAGGGCTGGGTCAATGCTGTTGGGTCTGTTGGTTGCTGCCATGACAATCACATGTGCTCTCTGCTTTAGGCCATCCATAAGGGTCAACAACTGTGATACAATACGCCGTTCCACCTCCCCATGGGTCTGTCAGGACAGGATATCTGGTCAGGAGTGAAGTCAAGACCTTTTAACCCCACACTAATCCCCCGGGTTAAGGTCCTACTTTTTCTCTTTTGGGAGCAATGGCATCCAGCTCATCAATAAAGATGATAGCAGGAGCATTCTTCTCAGCCTCCTCAAAGGCTTTACGAAGGTTGCTCTCAGACTCACCAGCCAACTTGCTCATGATCTCAGGACCTGAAAGGATACACAATAGAGGCAATGACAAAACTATATCCTTCCTCATTCCCCAAAGAAATCAGGTATTTTGTTTGCCAAGCCCAGAGACAGGTCCTGGGTGAGAAGGTGATAGGTTAGCTCTGCCTACTTTTTCACAGCCTCTATTAGTCACTATCCCAGGACAGCCAACAGGCCAGACTAGAGAGAAGCCAAGGCATTCAGTACACTTATCTCACAGTTGAACTGAAAGTTGGAAGATGAAAGATGCTCTGGGACCTCTGGCCACAGCAGGAGAAGCAGCATCCCAGAAGGACCTCTAATAGCTAAATATCATTCTTAAAGAGCCAGTTGACCTTCCCCCAAACCCTGTGTAATAAAATATAGACTTTTGGATTTCCCATTGTAACTTACACCTCTCTAAATGTTTTTAGCCTGTCTGTAATCTTTCTCAAAGGAGAAAAGATTGGGGGCACAAGAGTAAACTATCTTCCCCTTTTTGCTTATTTTTCTATAATGTACTCCAGCAGAAAAAAGATGCTAAAGTGTACACAAGGCTATGTGTGCAAATGAATGTGTCCATGATTTATCCAGATCACAAGACTGGATCATGCTCAACTCAGAATTGGGTCCAAGTTGCCTACCATTGATCAAAAAGAAGAAGGCCCCAGTCTCGTTTGCCACAGCTCGAGCAATCAGGGTCTTCCCAGTCCCAGGAGGTCCATAGAGCAGGATTCCCCGAGGAGGCTGAGGACCAGTAGAGAGAGTGCGATTAGGTTCAGACTCCCACCTTCTCCCAACCCCATCCACCCTAACATGGCTTAAATAGGGTTCTATCGAGAGTAGCTCAACCCTGACACCAATAAGATTGAGTCCTCAGCCACAGCTGCTAGGAAGATAGTTTACTTCAGGTCACACTCACTCCTCTTTATCAGCGGAGAAAATACTGATAGAAGGCTGACGTTTATGATTACAGCTTGCATAAAAGACTAAGAGCAGAGAAAACACCCTAAAAAAACTACTGTGAGTGAGTCTAAAGATCTTGGCATTAGGCAAAAACAAAGGGCCATTCGGCCAAGGGCTTGACTTTTGATAGACCAAGGGCCACGGACCAGCTTAGTTAAAAGTGTTGCCAGGGACTCAATCACTTTGGTAATCACAACCCTTCAGGATTTATTATGTTAGAATGCTTTTCCTTACCGCCAACCACAAGTTTTCCTCTTTGAAGCTGTCTTTTCTGTGGCCTCATCCACAGGCAGCACATGGGAAGTGCCCACACAGAAGATAAAGTTATTTATATGGTGCATACTAGGGAAGGGGTAATAATTTCATCTTCAGTGTATTCCATGACATGTTTGGGAAGTTACATTCTACACCAGCAGTTCAAATATTTTAGACTCAGGACCCTTAACACTCTGTAAATTTCCTTAATTTCTACTTCTGTTGGCCAGCACTCTTCTAGACAGGTTGGCAAACTATGGCGACATTTTTTTTATAGGGTTCACAAGAATGGCTTTTATGTTTTTAAAGAGTTGTAACATATAGATGTGACAGAGAACTTTATTGGCCCTCTCTGTTCTAGACCATTAGTAGTTTTAATAAATTTAGAACCCTCTTATAAACCCCCAAAATTTTTACTGCTTCTCTAATCAAAGAAAATAATGAATCATGTAAACCAGTCCCAGGATCAGACAACCAAGTAGTTGTTAATCACCATCTTAGACTATATTCCACAGAGCCCAAGATACTCACCTTCACACCAATTGCCTTAAATAGGGCAGGATGTCTCAGGGGCAGCTCCACCATCTCCTTTATCTGAGCTAGCTGTTTCCTGCAGCCACCAATGTCATCATAGCCTACTTCATTCAAGGACTCTTCCTCATCCTGAATATGAAGGAGACAAAGAAAAGGAGAAGACAGGAATACTACTATTAGTAAAAGCTGAGCCTCTTTAAGTCCTTCCACAATCTGGTATGAAAAAATCTGCTATAAATAAAGACTCTCCTCTGAGGGGACCATGCCTCAAAGGACAACTCAAAGTCCCAAAGCAAAGATTTCTAGCATCACCCTGGCTTGTTTGGCTTAGCAGTTGGAGTGTCGGCCTGTGGACCAAAGAGCCTCGGGTTTGATTCCAGGTCAAGGGCATGTACCACCTTGGTTGCAGGTTGGATTCCTGACCCTGGTTGGGTTGTGTAGGAGGCAACCAATTGATGAGTCTCTATCACATTCATGTTTCTCACTCCTTCCTTTCCTCCCTCCCTCCCTTCCACTCTATCTGAAAAATCAATAGAAAAATATCAAGTGATTTAAAAACAAACGAAAACCAACAAAGATTTCTAGCATAGCTTTCCCCTCTCACACTGTCCTTAGTCTTACTGGGAAGGGTTCCTCTAAGACCTGAAGCTGGAAATTTTGGTAAATGGGCATTCCAGCCCCATCATTAGCATCACTCCTTCAAACCACCCTGGCTTGTTTGGCTCAGTGGTTAGAGCGCCAACCCGTGGACCAATGAATCTCGGGTTTGATCCCAGTCAAAGGCACGCACCTCGGTTGTGATTCGTCCCCGCCCGATTGGGGTCGAGCAGGAGGCAACCACTCAATGTGTCCCTCTCACATCAATGTTTTTTTCTCTTTCTCTCTCTTTCTCCCTTCCACTGTATCTGAACAAAAAAAAAAAAAAAAGGAAAAATATCCTCGGGTGAGAATTAGAAAAAAGATTTAGTCCAACCACTTAGATCCTTTTGGTTCAATCTAGATTTTTAAAATTACCGGTATCAGATACATCTAAGAAATACCTAGGCCCAGAAACAAGTAACTGGGAGATTTCCCACCTCTGCAAAAAGCTTAATTACAGAGAGCACCTCATCTTGATAACTACCCCTTGACAGCCCCACTTAATAACCATGTAGTCCAGTACTGGGATCAGAGAGAGAACTCACCTCTCGTTTGATAGGCTCCCCTTCACAGTGGATCACTGTGTCTGGAGCAACAATGCAGTAAGGACTGGGATCTGTCTCCACCACTTTGAACTCCACAGCACGCATTCCACCCCGGACAAGAAAAATGTCTCCTATGAGAACAATCAGCACAAGGGCAGTCAGAGGTGTCAACAAGACTAAGTGAGAATTATTCATCAGAACCAGGGTCTAGAATGCCAAGTTCATTAGATACTGCCCTCCTTCTTTCCTACCCCCATGATACTGTTAAGCATCAGGCCAGAGGAGAAGCTATCTGTGAAGAGTCTCTTTGCCTTTCAAGAGGACAGTGAACAACCTGATTTGTCAGAAGCCCATATGGTTTTGACTTCTGGGGTACAGGCAACCCAAGCTTTTACAACACCCACCAACAGTAGAACTGTGCTACATATTAACACACTTTGGACTATTATAAAGCCAAAATAGCCCAGAGATTTAAGAAAAGAAAGCTTACTCTCCTTGAGCAGGGACTGGGAATGGGGTGACAGGGGCATGGCAGGGAGGGCAGGGGGAAGGACAGAGTATACATGTATGCATACATTGGAAACTGAGACAGATGTTCAAAGGTTTACTACCAAGTATCCCTACAAACAGCCGTCCTTAAGCTCAGTTCCTAGAATTCTCTCTCACCTTTCCGGATGGGTCGATAAGCTTCCAGGAAGTACGGCTTAAGGTATACCTCAAAGAGGTTGCCAGTGATACCTTCCACCGTGTCATCGATGGGTAGCACGTGGATGCGTTTGCCGTATTTCACATCAGGACATGGCTGGATGCTGAGGATGACAAGCAGACTCCACGTTACCAACCACACTGCAGCCCCAAGCACTGGGTATCCGAAAGAGCTTGGCACAGAGAGCTGATGGCAAGCGAAAGAGAAAAAGCAGGGATGGCTTTAGATGAAGAGAGGCAGGAGGACAGGGTGGGAACGAGAACAAAGGAACAGCCAAGCAGAACTAAGAGGTCACACTCAGGGAGGGATAGTAGAAGCCATTAGCATCACTGCCCCTGCTGGTGTGGCTCAGTTGGTTGAAGCGTCATCCCGTACACCAAAAGGTGGTGGGTTTGATTCCTGGTCAGGGCACATGTGGGAGGCAACCGATCAATGTTCCTCTCTTACATCGATGTTTCTCTCTTTCTCCCTCCCAACCTCTCTCTTAGAAAAAAAATCAATAAAATAAAATAATAATAATCTCAGCCAAGTGGTCAGAGAACCTTTGAAAAAAGTGACTAAGCATCTCCAGAAAGGCTACATGAAACTAGAATCTATAAAAAAAGAATCAGAAGCCTAAGGTATTACTGGCCAGGTGACAGGTGGTTTGGTAACAGTAGCTAGAGATAACTCCATGATGAGAAAGCCTCTTGACTAAAGTTAAGTCCAAAATCACTAAGACTGCAGCTATTCCTGGGCCTGGCTCCAAGTATGCCCCTCTTAGATTAACTTGGACCTTTAAAAAACCTACTAGGAGTTCAACTTTCACACGCACACTCCCACCTCATTCCAGCCCCAATACAAGTCATTAATCCAAACAGTAGTGAGGTTATTTGGCAGATACACACCCTCAAATGGCATCCTAACCAGGGTCTAAGGTGTGATAAGTTACACCTCTTATAGTAAATAAAAAAAAGAGTGGGGGATGCACATCAAGAAAGTCATAGAAATGCCAATTTGTCCCAAAGATCAAGCAGAAGCAGATATTAAAGTGCCAAGAGGCAGAACCAAAACCCAAAGACAACCATGATACATAAGTCTTCCCATGGTTAGGAGGCTTCTGAAACCTGCAGATGCCAAGGCCTTCATAGGAGTCCTGCCTCTGGCCTCCCATCCCTGAGGGGTCAAGAACCCCACACACACCTGATGACATCCCCTAGGCGTACGCGAAGGTTATTCCGAACAACTCTATTCATTCGAATCTTCTCATCAGAACATGTGTCATCAGAAAGCACAATGCACACAGCTTCCCGCCTCTTCTTTCCTTTCAGCAACACTGTATCACCTCGGAACAACTGCAGTTCATCCATCTTGGGCTGAGGAAACAAGGTTAAGGCCTTTGGGTCACTGGGCCAGGGGATAAGCAGCAGCCCTGGAGGTTGGGATTCCCAGTAAACCCCACTCTATCTGTGGTCACTGCAAGAAAAACGAGAAAAGAAACCTGGGAAAAGCCCTCAGGTTAAGTGCAATAAGGAAAAACTGGGCTGTGGACCTAACTTACCTGGGACAAGGACACCACACTGTTGTCCTCATTGATGGCTTCATCAACAATTAACCGATTGGGACGATTCTTCTGTTTAAGAATGGCTGTTGATAAGTCATCACCTTTTGAACTAGAAAGAGAAAATGAAGTTGGTCCCAACATATACTCCAGTCCCAGGGACCCCATCAACTTCTAAAACTCACATTTAGGAAAGAAATAGTGAATGGATGAAGCTGTCCCTACATCAAGAGCTCAGATAAATAAAATTCAGCCAAGGTAATGAAGAGTAATATCTAGCACATATTATAATTCCCATTCCAGTAGCTCTTGGTATTCTGAGCACTAGTATCCTAGTTGTAAAGCCCAAGGATCAGAAAACTATGGCCTAAAAAGATGAAACAGAAGTGGAGATTAAGTAAAATTAAAGATATAAAAATAGTCTTAGGATAGAATAGTGATTAAGAGGAGGAGATATGGCCCTGGCCGGGTTGCTCAGTGGTTAGAGCGGCAGCCTGCAGTCCGGAGAGACCCAAGTTCAGTTCCCACTAAGGGCATGTACCTCGGTTGCAGTTTGTCCCTGGCCCTGGTTGGGTCATGCGGGTGGCAGCCACTAGATGTGTTCCTTTCACGTTGATGTTTCTCTCTCCCTCTTCCTTTCTCTCCCTCCCACTCTATCTGAACAAAAAATGGAAAAATGTCCTCGGATGAGGATAAAAACAAAACAACAAAACTCACAATTCCATGAAATTGGTTTAAAAAGCCAAAACTACCCAGATGGAGTGGCTGTTGGTTGAACATCATCCTATACACCGAAAGGTTGCCCATTAGATTCCCAGTCAGGGCACATACCTGGGTAGTGGGTTCAGTCCCTGGTTGGGGCACATATGGGAGGTAACTGATCAATGTTTCTCTCTCACATCGATGTTTCTCTTTCTCTCTCTCCCTTCCTCTCACTAAGCAGGTGCTCAGGTGAGGATTTAAAAAAATAAATCGCCCTAAGCCAGTTTCGCTCAGTGGTTAGAGTGTTGGCCTGTGGACCAATGAGTCACAGGTTTGATTCGGGTCAAGGGCATATACCCTGGTTGTGAATTGTCTCTGGCCCTGGCCCTGGATGTGTCTCTCTCACATCAATGTTTCTTTTTCTCTATTTTTCTCTCTCTCTCTCCCCCTCTCTCCCTCCCACTATCTGAAGATAAACAAAGAAATATCCTTGGGTGATGATTGAAAAAAAATTAAAAAGTCCAGCTGGTGTGGCTCAGTGGTTGAGTATTACCCAACCACATGCCCAGGTGGCCAATCGATGTTCTCGCTCATCAATGTTTCTATCTCTCTACCCCCCCCCTCTAAAATCAAGAAAAATAAAAATTTTAAAAATCAATACATAAAATAAATAAGTAAATGCTAAGACATGGGACAAATCCAAATCCCTCACCCAAATCAAGGTTGCCTGAGTCTAAACTCAATTTAAACTGTCCAGTTTCAAATATTTCCTAGAAATTAAGATCATTTACCGGGCACCAATTTCTTATCTAGCTTATCTCTGGCCTTCACTAACTAAAATTGGTGGGCTCTTCCTCTAAAAGCTATCTCCTCTTGCCCTGGCCAGTTTGGCTCAGCAGTTAGAGTCAACCAAAGAGTCCTGGGTTTGATTCCGCCCAAGGGCACGTACCTCGGTTGCAGTTCATCCCTGCACGAGTTGGGGTTGTGCAGGTGGCAACCAGTCAATGTATCTCTCTCACATCGATGTTTTTTTCTCTCTCTCCCTTCCACTCTGTCTGGAGGTAAATGTAAAAATATCCTCAGGTGAGGATTAAAAAAATTAAAGCTACCTCCTCTTATTAAGGCTAAGGAAAACATGTACATTAACCAAATAGGGAGGCCAGGCAATGGAGGAAGCAAAGAAATAAAAAAGAATGTCTCTCACGAATTATTTTTTCACTCAACAAATTAATGAGTATACGTATTATACACCACACACTGTTCTAGGATCCAGGGATACAGCAGTCAACAAAACAAGACAAAATAGTATTCCTATTAAAAATATCTTCAGAACCTGCAATAAAAAGAGATGCCTATGTCCAGTCATTGTGGCTCAGTGGCTGAGTGAGCATCAACCCATAGACCAAAAGGTCGCTGTTTTGATTCCTGGTCAGGGCACATGCCCAGGTTGCAGGCTTGATCCCCAGTAGGGAGCATGCAAGAGGCAGCCAATCAATGATTAATGTTTTTCTCTCACTGATTAATGTTTCTAACTCTCTTCCTCTCCCTTCCTCTCTCTCTAAAAAAATCAATAATGTATATTTTAAAAAGAGATGCCTATGCACCAAGCTGGTGTGGCTCAGTGGTTGAGCATCAATCCATGCACCAAGAGGTTGCTAGTTCAATTCCTGGTCAGGGCACATGCCCAGGTTGTGGGCCTAATCCCCAACGAGGGGCATGCAGGAGATGGCCAATCGATGTTCTCTCATCGATGTTTCTATCTCCCTCTCCCTCTCCTCTCTCTCTTAAAAAAAATTTTTTTAATCAATAAAGAAAAAACAAAATAAAAAAAAGAGAGATGCCTAGACTCCAGAATACCTGCTGTAGAGTTATGAGGCTTTTATATCTTTTGGTCCTGATATACCCAAGAGAAATACAAATCCATTCATCTAATAAAACTGTAAACTTTCTGCTGACCCTCTCACATAGGTTGCATCTTTTTTTTAAATCCTCACTCGAGGATATTTTTCTACTTATCTTCAGATAGAGTGATGAGAGGGAGGAGAGAGAAACATCAATGTTGAGAGGGACACATCGACTGGCTGCCTCCTGCACAAACCCAACCAGGGCCAGGGACCAAACCACAACTGAGGTACGTGCTCTTGACCGGAGTTAAACCCACAACCCATTGGTCCAGTGGCTGATGCTCTAAACGCTGAGCCAAACCAGCCAGGGCATATAGGATGCATCTTTAATCATAACCTTTAAACTACCTTCCAAGAGTGGAGTTTCCTAGGCTTAAACTTGCCTCTCCCAACCCAAAAGTGTGGCACTTTGGGCATAAAATTGCAGACAAATTTTCCCAGTGTTATGAACACCCTGGAGGGCAATCATGGTCAATGTGACAGCTGAAGGCAGTTTAAACCCATCAATTCTCCCTCTCCCTCACACCTCAAAATACCTTCTAAGGGTTGGCCCATCCTTCTGCTTAATCTATAGGACTGGTGCTGGAGAAAAATAAAATGGCTGTTGCTTCTCATCATCATAGTTTGTATTTGGGGACACCTCCTACTGTCTTCTGCATAAGTCAGGCCCTTTCCAGAACTCTAAATGGCCACAGAGGACTTGGAGGGAGTTCAGGGAAGAGTCATCAAAATGACCTACAGATTAGAAACCATCTATGATAACAGGTTTCAGGAATTTTTGAATTTTAGTCTTGATAACAAAAGACTGACTAGATAACTTAAGGGACTATTTTAAGTATTAATAAGTGGTCCTTCTAAATAGGTGACTGAGTAATAATTCATCTGGATTCAAAAACTTGAAAAATAGGAACACACCAACAAAACGAAAATTTCTTTAAGTCAGGAAGGTTATTTGCATAAAAGAGTTTCCCTAGTGTTCCAGGAAAGGGGACCTGGCCCTGAGTGGGTCGACCTAGGACCAGCAGGTAGCGTGTGGGTTCTTGATTTCCTGCAGGAAGTTTCAAAGCACGTGTCCAGCTGAATTTTAGAGGACGTTTATTAAAGCTGGGGACAGTGAAACAAGAAAAAGCTGGGGAGATGAGCCTAGGCTGGTCTACTTTGGCTCACTAAGAAGTCAGAGAAAAGGGGGACTTGGGGACAGGTTCAGGGGGTTTGTCTGGGAGAATTGCTGCTACCCATTGCTGCCCTGGTTGCAGGCCTTGTGGGGTCCCTTAGAGTTTAGGAGCTGCATGCCTGTGGGGGAAGAAGAGGGAGTGCAGGTGTGCTCCCAGGAGAGCCTGCACTGGGACCTCTGTTTGAGGGGTTTCAAAGGCTTGGCGTTTAGGGGAGGATTTCAACAGAACATTCATCAGCTTTATGATGAATAAAATAAACGAGATTTATTTTAACTTCATCTGCCCTTGGGTGTGGTTGGCAAATGGCACTAATTGGATTTCTGCTATCTGTATCCCTGAGTGCTGTGATTTAAGGTATTTACCCTCTGGTTGGGGAGAAGTGCAAACCATTTATTCTTAAGTGTCCCTGGTTTAGGGGAGATATGATTTACTAGAAGCTCTTGAGTCTAAATTCAGTGGACAGAAGTGGCAGGTTTTATCTGATGCTTTCCTCAGGGGTGGAGGGCCCAGAATTTCTCAACACTACAATTTGGGGGGGGGGGGGTGCAATCTGTGTGTGTTGGAAGAGGTAAAGCAATTCTAACCTTCACACCACTTGAAGGCTGAAATCTAGGAAGGCCCAGAAAATAGTAACTCAGATTCAAAGGCATAGCAAGAACCTTAAATAGCAGAGAAAGGAAAAGTGCCTTTCTCCCTGCGTCCATTTCATAACATCAAGAAAAACTGACTAAAGCTTTCTCATATCAGTAACAACTGGCCTAAAGTATAAAGAAGGCCAGAGCGAAGAGCAGGGCTCACTCTCTCCCTCACTACTCAGGTGGCATAGGATGCTTAACCACGGGCCAAGCAGACCCGGTTCCAAAAGTGCCGCGGTGAGCTTCCCTGGGCTCGTCGGGCCTTCCCCAGCTTCGGCCTCCGCCTAAGTCTCTGGGCTCCGAAGGCCTTCACAGGGCCCAAAGTCCACGCCCACCGGGCCCAGTTAGGGTGTTGGGGCCTGCGCTCTCCGGGAACCTAAGGCCTTCAGTGGGTGGTAGGCCGAATCGCAGGGGGTCGTCCCAAGGCCCCAGGGTTCTGCGCCGGCAGTGTGGGCCCGCAGACCTCACTAGGCCGGCACGGCCGTTCCAAGTGAGACAATCAGGCCGGCCAGGGCCTGCATGACACAGCACGATCTGGCCCAGGCCCCGACCCGGGCCCAACGCAAATCCCGCCTAGGGGGCGCGCGGGTGCGTTGCCAGGCCCAGCCGGCCCCTCGGTCGCCCCCTTCCTCTTCTCTCCTTCCTTGTGTCCCTCTTTCCGGGTCTCCAAGTCTTAGACGCCCACGGCCAGGCCCTGCCAGGCCTACCCAGCGCCGAAGGGTCCCCTGGTGCGCGCACCCGCAGCGAGCGGGCGCGCGCGCACACATACACACTCACTCAGCTCCGGAGGCCATGGCGCGCGCCTCTCCCGGCCGGCGACTGTGGCGGCCCGCGGGTAACGGCTACAAGGGGTAGCAGGCGACCGACTGGACTGGGGCTCGGCTCTCCCGGGCGGGTGGCGAGCAATGGCGACAAACCCGTAGGCAGCTCCCCTCTCGCTTCCTCCCAACGGCACCCGTGCGGTGGGCGGGCAGACGTTGGCTCCTGATCCTCGACGAGGCAGCGATAGCGACGACTCAAACGTCGGCTGCAGACGCTTCACTGAGACTGAGCCGAGAAGAGCCGAATCATCGGAAGAAGGGTACTCTCACCTCAGCCAATCAGCGCCTGCCCTAGGGACTCCCGCCCGCCTCTCAGCGCCTCTCCCTAGTAACCCACGGACCAGAGCCAATCAGAAAATTCGCTTTGACCCGACTCCCGCCCCAAAGATGCAACGCCACGTCAATTGGCCGCAACACTGCGCTTCCTCGACGGATTGGTACTCTCGACCAATCAACGAAAGGAACGGGGCCAGATCGACTAGCGGAAGGAGTGTTTAATCCCTTGGAGGCGGACTCTCCCACTTGGCTCCAGGTCATTGGCTGTTTATCTTGCTGGATAAACCTGGCACAATGGATTGAACCTTTACATTAGTCTAATATTGTTGTAGTGATAGCCAACACACCTATCTTCCAAAACTTGAAGATTCACCCTAAGCCCTCTCCTTGCTCCTTCAAAATTTTGGCTCAGGCCACCCCTACTCCAGACCATTTCACTAGCGCCCCAGCTCTTAATCTACTCTATCCTAGTCATTGCACCCTATGGTTGGTTAACCCTAATCCCACAAGGTTTTCAGGGCTTGGAGGTACATGCTTCCTCTTACCACTGGGTACTAATATTATTTGAGGAGAGAGGGCATTAAAGTCCAGAGGGGGGTCAAAAGGCTACCACAGCCCTAGCCAGTTTTGCTCAACAGCCAGAATGTGGGGGTCCCACCCACCAAAAGGGTTGCAAGTTTGGTTCCCAGTCAAGGGCATGTACCTGGGTTGCAGGTTCCATCCCTGGTCCTGGTCTGAGTCTTGTGGGAGGCAACCAATCCATGTGTCTCTCTCACATCGCTTTCTCTCTCCCAATCTAAAAATCAATGAAAAGCCCTGGCCGGTTTGGCTCAGCGGTTAGAGCGTCCGCCTGCAGTCCGGAGAGACCCGGGTTCGGTTCCCGCTAAGGGCATGTACCTCGGTTGCAGTTTGTCCCCGGCCCTGGTTGGTTGTGCGGGTGGCAGCCACTCGATGTGTCCCCTTCACATCGATGTTTCCCTCTCTCTCTCTTCCTCTCTCTCCCTCCTACTCTATCTGTACAAAAAATGGAAAAATGTCCTCGGATGAGGATTAAAAAATAAATAAATTAATAAATAAATAAATAAATAAATAAAAATAAAAATCAATGAAAAGCCCTGGCCGGTGTGCTCAGTGGTTAGTGCGTCAGCCTGCGGTCCAGAGAGACCTAGGTTCGGTTCCCACTAAGGGCACATATCTTGGTTGCAGTTTGTCCCCAGTCCTGGTTAGGTCGTGCGGGGGGCAGCCACTCGATGTGTAGCTTTCAAGTGGATGTTTCTCTCTCTCTCCCTCCCACTCTATCTGAACAAAAAATGAAAAAATTTCCTCGGGTGAGGATAAAAAATAAATAAATAAATAAAAATCAATGAAAAAATATCGAGTGAGGATTAACAAAAAAAAAAAAAAAATTCAAAGGTTACCATAGAATATAGCAGATTCAAGAGAGCCCAAAGCAGCAAGAAAACTGCATGCTGAGTTTAAGTTTTTGGGCCCAAAATGCCAGCTAGTCCTGACTATGTTCAATGGGCAGTTTTGTTAGCATGCTAGCCTAATTCATCCTCCATCCCTATCTATAGACACATTTGATTGAGACAGTCAAATCTCAAATTTCTAGAATTTGGGATTAAGGAGGAGGTGGGAAGTTACTCTGAAAGACTAAATCTGTTTGTCTCTCCCCTGTAAGAATCAAATACCTGCTCTTGTCAGGTGAGGTCTGCCTACTCCACCTTCCAGAACCACCTCCGCTCATTCTGTCAACTCACACAGGATCCCGGGCTTTGGGGCTCTGCTTTTAGGAATGGGAAGTGCAAAAGCCTGCTTTCTGAATAAGGATTACTCTAACCCTTTCTTCTACCCCAGATCTCAAGTCATAAGGTAGATGATGTTGGAAGAGGGCACCTTAGACAACCAGCACTCAACTGAATCAGACAGCTGTGAGCTGTCCCACTCATATATGTAGTAGGCAGACAAGAGATAGATGAGATTTTAATCAACACAAGAAAAGGGGAAACAGGAAAAAAGGTGCCGTGAGCAAAGTCAATGCCTCATTGTTGGTGGGGATGGGGGAAACAAGAGGTCCTCTGGAACGAGATGGAAATAACTAGGCCAAAAAATTTTGTAGGAGTACCACCAACCTCTCCAAAGCCGGACTTATATAGGGATGGTCACCTCCGAACACATTCCCAAGGACGGTATAGCAGAAAGCCCTCCCCACAGAAAGATGGCCCACTGGGACCCCAGCTCAGACTCTTTGTAACTTGGCAGCTACAAGTCACAAGGCTCCAGCAGAAATGTCCGATACTCTTCAAGAAGGGTTTCACGGTCAGGAGGATGGATCCAGCTCAAACAAGTTTCAAGGTACAGGGGGAGAGACCTGGAAAGCAAGAAGGGTGAGATCTAAGAGTGAAGAATAGGCAGAAGGTTGGGCAACCACTCCCTCCCTTTTATTCACCATCACCCAGCCCAATAGGCACAAGGATTCCAGGACACCAACTGCCCCTCAGACCCAAGCAGCAGGCCTCAACCTTACCATGTAGCATTTTCCTGTAGCAATTTAGTTTGGGCCTCCAGTCTCCGCCAAAGAGCAGTGGCCTCATCCCTCCGATCCAGCCTCCTCAGAGTCTGAAGCAGGTGAAATGAAGCATCTCCATTACCTGTAGTCCCACCCCAGAGTAGAGCCTTAGAACTTGACCCAGTCTTAGGCATCATTTTATAAAATGGGAAACAGGCATAAAGCAGGGAACTGTTTTGCCTACAGTCACACACTGAACCAGGAGTAGGTCATTCCCAATCATTCCTTCCCCTAAGCATTGACTGCCTAGGACAAAGGGCTCAACTAATTCTACTTCTGCCCAACACACTCTCAGCACCATCACTGTCTTTGTGTCTGAGGACATTGAGAAGTCTGGGAAATACCCCTCCTATCTAAGAACATCACTCAGTACTTCCCCCATGGGCCTCTCTGTCATGCAACTGTGCGTGGCTAACACCATGTAAGTATACATACCTAGGCACACCTGCACACTGAGGAGAAAGTCCTGTAATGCTTTGGTATCCTGGCCACTGGCCACCCATTCTAGTCCACGACTAATCAAGGCAGCTGCCCGAAGCTGTTGTAGTGTCTCATCTGACGTACACCCCTGTTCACAGTTGGAAGCAGGCCCTGGGGACCACCCCCAAAGTCAAGAAGTGTGTTAACAGCCATAAAGTCACTAAAACCCCAAGTCCCCTCTATCTCTTTTTGTGTCTGGAGTCCCCTTCTCTTAAATCTCCTTGTGGGCTAGGACACATGAAAAGGGAACTGCTATCTACCACCACCACTTCCAGGAGGGAACAGGGAAATCGAGAGCCTATATCACCTTGTTCTTTGTCCTTAGGTGTGACCCGGAAGAGCAGCTCAAGGCACCTGAAGTGAGACATGGAGCAGAGATGAAGATGAGTCAAGCTCAGAAACTCTGGGGTTAATAGGTAAGAATGGAGCTCTCCAATTCAGGTCCCAGTCAGACCTCCACACTTCCCATATGGCCCTGGCACTGGTTGGCTTCCTGGGCTCACCGGCTAAATTCACTAATTGCCTGTTTTGGGACCCCTAGTTGCACCCAGGCATGGCCCTGAAGCAGGTAGGTGGCAGAGACCCAAAGTGGGTAGTGTGGTGACTCTTTGGTTCCTTTGCTGGCATTTTTCCATGGCAGGGGCATCTTGGGCAGTAGAGATGATGTGCGGCGCAGCAGCTCCTCACATACAGTCAAAGCATCCTGAGCTCGGCCTGTCTGGATCAGTGCTGCTGCTGCCTCCAAAAATATCTCAGGCATACACAGCCCTGAGGAGCAGGGGGGTGGAGATAACTGGGGTGAGAGAAAGATGCGGTGTCTTAAACAAACATTAACCACCACCCGCAACCTCGTCACCAGGCTCTGGTACCATATGGAAACCACCCATTGCTTGCTGCCCTGGACACCTTGTTCTGGGAAGCCTTTCTGTTCTGCCACCCCCTCCAAGATTAGACGAACAAAACAGCAGAGGAAAAAAAACAGAAAACAGCAGTCCTGCTCTACTCCGAATGAGACCCCAACCCTTTCCTACCCCAACTGCAGAGAACCTTAAAGATATACCCACCTTAGGCTCCGAGCCATCCAGCAACAGGGCCAGTAGGTCTAAGTAATGCTCTGCAGCGTACTCTGTCCTGAGGAGTCATAGCCCATGAGCCTTACGTTAGACCCTTGCAGATCCCTCCAAGGGCTCTTAGCTAAGGGAGGGATGCTCAAGGGCCCTGGGGAATGGGTCTTGGGGTTCCAACCTTGGCTCAGTGTAGATATACCCTACTTACAGAATGGATTTGGGAGGTGACTTCAGTTTTAAAGATACAGGTTAGTGTCTGGGGAAAGTGTTCAGGTCCAGTGGCAAGGCAGAGGTTGAGGAGTGGGGACCTATGTCTTGCCACTGACTCATCCATCCCTCTGACTCACAAGAACAGAAACAGAGTCACATCCCAGGGAAGGCATCAAAAGTGGGATGAGGAGCTCACACGAGCAAGGCATAACTTCACCTTCCCATCTGTAGGCATCGACTTGCTAGCAGGTGTCTGACCTGGCTCAGTGTGCCACAGTGAAGAGGCGAGGCTGGGTCAGGTTGTGGGAGTAGCAACTCTACCTCAATAAGAAAATGGGGGACTTCAGAGGTAGGAGGGATACTCAAGGCCTAAAAGGGACAAAAGAAGATAGTATATCTATAATCTTTGGGAGCCATACTTCCTTCTATTTATACCTTGACTCATCGACTCAACACAAGCACCTCAGCAATCCCCATATCTTCAATTGGCATAGTTCCTTACCTCAACCAGAAGCTCCAGACTCTCCAGCTCTGCTGCTGTGTTCCCCAGTTGCCGATATACTCTGGAGGCCTCCAGAAGTGGAGGACCACAGATGGATCCCCCTTTCAGGGCTGCAACCAAGTATAGCAGAGCTCTCTGTGGATTGCCCTAGAGGGGTGAGAGGACACAAGCCTTAGCCACCCTCACAAAGAAAAAAGCTGTCCATAACACCCATGGTTTCCCCAGCCCACCCTATCACTGTCTTTACCATCTTCCGGAGACAGGTCCCCAGTGCTGTGTACACCTGGACTAACACAGGTCGTGGGCACAGACCTGAGGCCGCTTCATGAAAGCTGCTTAGTGCCCTAGGCAGACTCCCTGTGATCAGCTCCTGGAGGCCTGAGAGCAATCAGGGTATAAACTTAGAAAGGCCCATAGGGCACAAGTTAAATAGGACATGAGAGAAACATCATGAGCCTAGAGGCCCCTTAAAATGGGGAGTGGGGAGGAAAGAATCAGTCGGACTGCTAACTGACCTTGACGATAGGCAAATGCTGTCAGAAGGACATTCCTCAAGCCCTGGGCATCCTGCAGCGTCAATGGGTCATCTGATTCCTTAGCTGGGGGGCTCCAAGATTTTAGAAGGAGCAGCAGATCCTCGGAGGCCCCACTCTGGGGAGAGAAGGAGCAAAGAGGATCCAAGCCTATAACTATTTATTCTCCTGTCTTAGTCTATGCTGGCTGGACCTTGAATTCAAGGGTTTTCCTGATTCCTGTTCCCCCAATTCTAAGAGATAGATAGCTGTAGGGAAAGGATAAAGGGAAGAAGAAAAACCTGGAGCAATGATAATCTATCCTAGTGCACCTCCTCACTCAGGATAAGCCCACGAGGACACAGGGCAAGGACTATGTTTGAGTTACTGATGAAAAGACTGAGACTGGGAAGTGACTTCAGCAAGGTCATAAGAACCTTGACCCCACCCAAGATTATTAAACTTTTTGTTTTTAATTGTATTGCTTTTTAGAAAGAGAGAGAGAGAAACATCTATTTGTTGTTCTACCCACTTATGCATTACTGGCTATTGCCTGTGCCCTGACCAGGGAATAAACCTGAAACCCTGGTGAATCAAGATGACACTCCAACCAACTGAGCTACCCGGCCAGGGCATAAGCTATTTTTAAAATGCTCCCAAGAGAATCCCTCCAATGAGGGACCAACCAGAGCAAGGTCACTTAAAATTCCTTGAGAGAACACAGGTCTTCTGACCACCAACCCAGCAACCTTTCCACCACCTAATGATGCTTCTGCAGCTGGGAGGAGTGGTAGGAGAGAAAAGACCCTTAGTTCCAGGTCACTTCCAGAATTACCTGGCTGCCATTTAGGGTCTGCAGCAGCAAGGTCAGGTCCCCAAGATGGTCAGTGCTCAGCCAGAGGGCAGCCTGCAGGCCAGCTAGGTGGTGAAGGGCAGGGAGCAGCTGCGGCAGAACGGCGGAAGCATGGAGGACAGAGTTCCACAACCCTCTAAATCCACGGTCCAGCCTGGGCCCCAGCTGCTTCTGGGTCTCTAGCACTGTAGAGTACACACACATACAGCTGAAATACGACCTGATCTCTGGCTTTCCTTTTCTGCAGGAGCCCAAAGACCATAAAGGTTCTCCTACTTTGAGAAGCACATGGAGGATCAGATAAGGGCATCTGTCTTCTTGGAGGTGACAGATTATGTTGCTCCTCCCCAACCCCCTTGCAAGGGTTTAAACCCAGACTAAGGCTGGCAGGGGCATGGGAGACAATCTCTGGCCCTCACCTCTCTCTAGGCCCCACTGGATATCCTGGGCCTGGTCCTCAGTGAAACGCTGGGCCAGGCTTGCCTTCAGGGTAGTGAAGTTGCAGATAACAGTCAATTCCAAGGGGAGAACAAGAACAGATGCAGAGAGCCCTAGAGCAACAAATGCTGGTCTCACAAGCTGATCCCCCCTAAAAGATTCCCTGAATAAGATTCAAACTAGAGATCACCCCCCACCTCAACCAAATGGCCTCAATAAAGAATGCACCCTTTGGACAGAGTATGGAAAGAACAGAAGATTCTCCAGATTAGACCATTTGGGGAACCACTTCTTCAAATGCTGCTGCTGTGTGTGTGTGTACAAGGAGATTCATCTGTACAAAGACTATCCACTCCAGTCCCATTTGTGCCTTAAACAGGCCCCTGAGTAATCAATCGCCTCAATCCCAGAAATGGAGAAGAGGAACTGGTCTCTGGCTGTGGACGGGGTGGGAGGGACTAAACCATCCTGGGGAGGACACTGCTTACCCTGCAGACTATGGAGGAGTCCCCTGAGCCCTTCCAGCGCATCTTGAGCCAATTGCTGTCGCCTCAGAGACAGATCCAAGTCCTGAGCCACCTGCCAAATGTGGGGTGTAGTATCACTGAGATTAAATCCTTCCCTCTAACCCTGCAGCAGTGGCAACAGATAATCATTCTCCAATCTTTTCTGGGTTTAGGGTTAGGTCAAGCTCAGCCCCTCCCCCATTTGCTGGGGGTCATCCACCACAGCAAACCCTCTTTCTGGTATTTTGAGGCTGCAAAGCGAGAGTCCAAGCAACCGCGTTACCTTGGCCTGTCGAACTAGCTGGTCATTCTTTTCCCTCCACAGGTCCAGGCAGTTGACTTGTGGCACTGAAGAACCCAGAGGGATTTGGTGGGACATGGTGGCTGACACTGGGCCCACAAACAGGGAGAGGGCTACGAAAGGGTAAGCCTGTCCCTGCCTAAGCCCCCACCCGAGGAGGAGGGGGCCCGTGAACTTCCGCGGCTCCTCCTGCTCCCCTTTTGCTCCCCTCGGGGTAAAATGGACTCTCTCCTGGCAGCCTGGCCGGGCTCTCACACCCACGCCTCTACCATCCTCGCCTCTGGTTGGCCGGGCGGCAAAATTGTGGGCTGCGGTTGGTCGTCTTCAAACAGTCCTCGCGGGAAACTAAGAAACGATTCCGGACAGACCAGTGAGGAAGGCTGAAGCAGCCTGGCGGCGTTTCTACGAGGAGCTTGTACCGCTCACCGTTCCACCGTCTGGACCCTCGCCGAAGCCTCGAGAAGTCGATATCGAAATCAGGGCCCGGGCTCGGCGGGCCCTTCCCTTGCAACTACACTTCCAGGTCTGCTGGGTTCCCTCCCCCACCCCCGCCCCCGCAGGGCAGGCCCGAGCGATGCATGCTGGGAATCGTAGTACAGCCGAGAGACCCTGGAAAAGTCCGGCCCGGAAGAAAGTGTCTCCAAAGGAACTGACAGGAGACCAAGGCCCTCAGTAATCGGACCATCCTCTCTCTCTTCACCGTGGACCATCAACACTGTCACCACAGTCCGCTCAACGGCCTGCAGTCTGACTGCTGGCAGCGCAACCCTGTGTTTGTGCAGTTTGCACTGCTTACCGATGGAGTACCTGCCCAATCCTTTCAGCAAATGGAGCTGGGAGAGTTGATATCCCTATGCAAAAACAAAACAAAACAAAACAAAAAACCCCACAACCAACTACGACCATTACTATACATAAAATGAACTCAAAATGGATAGGTTGGACTTCATTAAAATGAAAAACTCTTATGCTACAAAGACACCATCAAGAAAATTCAACCACAAAGCTGTAAAAAATTATTTGCAAACCACATATTTCATAATGGACTTGTATCTACAACATGTAACTCTTAAAGCTCAATAAAAAAAAAAGACATTTGAACCAATATAAGGCAGGGAGATAAAATATGAATAGATATTTTACCAAAAAAGATACATGAATGGATAAGAACCACAGAAAAAGATGCTCAACATCAACTATTAGGGAAATACATATTAAAACCATTAGATACCACTATGAACATACACACATAGAATAGTAACAATAGCCCTGGTCGGTTTTGCTCAGTGGTTAGAGCATCAGGCCTGTGGACCAAAGAGTCCTGGGTTCGATTATGGTCAAGGGCAGGTACCTCAGATGTAGTTTGGTCCCCAGCCCAGGCTGGGGTCATGCGGGAGGAAACCAATCGATGTGTCTCTCTCACATCGATGTTTTTCTCTTTCTCTCTCTCTTTCTCCCTCTCTCCCTACAGCTCTATCTGAAAATAATCAGAAAAATATCCTCGGTGAGAATTTTAAAAACAATAGTAACAATAAAAAATACAGCCCGGCCAGTGTGGCTCAGTGGTTAAGCATCGACCCATGCACTAAGAGGTTGCTGGTTCGATTCCCGGTCAGGGCACATGACCAGGTTGTGGGCTCAATCCCCAGTATGGGGCATGCAAGAGGTGGCCAGTCGTTGTTCTCTCATCAATGTTTCTCTTTCTCCCTCTCCCTTCCTCTCTAAAATTAATAAAGAAAAAAACAATTTAAAAAAAAGATCAGTGGCCTTGGGTGAGATTGGGGATTGATTGTAAACAAAAGTACAGGGAATTTGTGGGAGTGATGACAACTTTCTAAAACTAAATTGTAGCACTTGATAACAGTTTCTTACATATCATATGAAAAGAACAAGCAGCAAAAGAATAGGATGAAATAAACTTCATCAAAACTTTAAAATTTTGTTTTTATGTGCCATATAAATAGTTGAAGGTTAATTAGCAGTATAACTGAATAGTAATGCTGCCAGTCTCCTTCAGACAAAAGAACAAACAAAACTTAAAAAGTCTGTGCTTTATGCCCTGGCTGGTTTGGCTCAGTGGTTAGAGTGTTGGCCCACGGATCAGAGAGTGCCAGGTTTAGTTCCCACTAAGGGCATGTACCTTAGTTACAGTTTGTCCCTGGCCCTGGTCGGGGTCATGTGGGTGGCAACCAGTCGATGTGTCTCTCTCCCATCAATGTTTCTCTCTCTCTTCCCTCCTCTCTCCCTCCTGCTCTATCTGAAGATAAATGCAAAATTGTCCCCGGGTGAGGATAAAAAAATTAAAAAAAAAAAAGTTTGTGCTTTAGCCTGGCCTGTGTGGCTCAGTGAATTGAGAGTCATCCCATGGACTGAGAGGTACCAGTTCGATTACTGGTTAAGGCACATGCCCGGGTTTTAGGCATGATCCCCAGTAGGGAGTGTGCAGGAAGCAGCCGATTGATGTTTCTCTCTCATATTGATGTTTCTCTCTAAAAAAAAAATCAATAAAAACACACTTAAAATTTTTTTTGTGCTTCAAAGGTCACTGTCAAGAAAATGAAAAGATAACCCACAGAAGGGATAGAATATGTGATAAGGGACTTGTTTCTAGAATATATAAACAATGCTTATAACTCAGTAATAAAAAGACAACCCAATTGAAAAACAAAGGATCTGAATGGACAGTTCTCCAATAAGCACAAGAAAGATACCCAACATCTTTAGTCATCAAGGATATATAAACTAGAACCACATGAGATACTACTTCACACCCAGCAGGATGGTTAGAAATAAGACAGATACATATAAGTATTGGCATGGATGTGCAGAAATTGGTACTCATACACTGTTGATGGGAATATAAAATGGTGCAGCAACTTTGGAAAACAGAGTAGTAACTCAACAACTTGTAACTTTTTAAACTTGTTTTTTTCTTTAAATCCTCACCTGAGGATATTTTCCATTTATCTTCAGCTAGAGTGGGAGGAAGGGAGAGAAAGAGAGGGAAACACTGATGTGAGATACATCTACCGGTTGCAAGACCCCGACCAGGGCTGGGGACCAAACTGCAACTGAGGTATGTGCCCTTCACCGGAATTGAACCTGCAACTCTGGTCCGCAGGCTGATGCTCTAACTATGGAGCCAAACTGGCCAGGGCTTAAACTTTTTTAAAACAACTTCTCAAAAAGTTAAACAGAATTACCATGTGACCTAGCAATTTCACAATATACTACTAGGTATATACAAATGAAAACACATGCCCAAACAAAAACTTGTGTATGGTTGTTCATAGCAGCATTATTAAAAGGTGCAAACCCAAATGTCCATCAATAGATGAATGAATACAAAAATGTGCTATATCCACACAATGGAGTATTATTTGGCCATAAAAAAACAAAGTACTGATTTATGCTGCAACATAGATGAACCTTGAAACAGTTGGCTGTATGAAAGAAACCTGACAGAAAAGGCCACATATTATATGATTCCATTTACATGAAATATCCAGAATAGGCAAATCCATAGAAACAGAAAACACATTAGTGGTCGTCAGAGACTGGGGGCAAAGGAGATTGGAAATGACTGATAACGAGTGATTTTTTTTTTATCCTCACCTGAGGACATTTTTCCATTTTTTTTGTTAGACAGAGTAGGAGGGAGAGAGAGGAAGAGAGAGAGAAACATCGATGTGAAAGGGACACATCGCGTGGCTGCCACCCACATGAACAACCAGGGCCGGGGACAAACCGCAACCAAGGTACGCGCCCTTAGCAGGAACCGAACCCGGGTCTCTCTGGACTGCAGGCTGACACTCTAACCACTGAGCAAAACCTGCCAGGGCAGTAAGTGATTTCTTTTGGGGGTGATGAAAATGTTCTGGAAATAGTAATGATGGTAGAACATTGTAAATGTACTAAGGGCCAATCAACTGTACACTTTTAAATGCTTAATTTATGTCATGTGGACTTTACTTCAATTTTAAAAAAGAAAAAGAATGAAGTACTAATACATAGTACTATATAGATGAATCTTCAAAACATTATGCTGAGTGAAAAAAGCCAGTCACAAAAGGCCATACATTATATGATCCCATTTCTATGAAATGTCCAGAATAGTGGTTGCCTAGGGTAGCGGTACAGGTGGAGAGGGATGGAGGGTAATAGGAAAGAGTAGTATCTAGTTTGTGGGTTGATAAAATGTTCCAAGGTTGACTGTGGTGATGGCTGTACAACTCTGAATATACTAAAAATCATTAAATTATATACTTTAAATGGGTAAATTTTATGGTAAATTGTACCTCAATAAAACTCTTTATTAAAAAAGAAAAGAGTTAGTATGGAATGGGCTCTTTGGTGTCAAATAAAAGGCAGGGATATGAATTTCTAATAGTGTAAATTAATGTGCTAACATATCTTTCTCTAAAAGAATCTTGTAGATAGATCAGGAGAAAAGGAAACAGTGGTTAGCAGATCAGATTATCCTTAGGCTCCAGGGAAGGGGGCTCCCTGCAAAGAAAAAGCAGGGGAAGCGGGGAGGAGTGTACCTGAAATCTTTCCCATGGGTCTTGGGATAGAGAAAAGGTCTTTATTTCTTTTCACAAAGTTACTATCTGCTCACTAAATAATACTTGGGAGTTGTATCCACCAGACTGAGGGAAGGAACTTCTTTTCTAATTCATTTTACAGGCTAGCAGGGGCCTAACTTCTCCCCTTTCATTATTAAACCTATCCCTGCCAGAGTCTAATGTCCTACCCTCTAATTGCCTGAAACAGTACACACTTTTCATCATCTTCCTATTTGACCTCTATAGCACTAGGGACTGTTGGCCATTAACTCTTCCTTTAGCTACCACAGCAGTGAATGCCTTTACTGCACAATCAATGCTACTCAGCTTCTCTTCTTACCCTGCCAGGTAAAGGTAGGTGCTATCCCACAATTTTAACATCCATTCTTCTGTCAGTGGTCTCATCTCTTCCTGTCCTGGGTACTTTCAAACCTCAAACCCCAGTCCTGAACCTTCTCCTCAGAGCCTCTTCTTCATTCTTTTGATGGAAATTTCCACAGGGGTTTCACAGCACTTCCACATGACCCAGGAGTAATGAGGTGGATGGAGGACACAGGAGACATGCATGAGGAGCATTAGAGTTATACAGTTTGTTATCAAGCCAGGAATAATCAATGGGACATGGTGGAATGCTTTAAGCTGGGCAAGTAGGTCTGATAAAATGCAGCACTGGTTGGGAAGCTAGGGAGGCCTCCACAGAAGTGAAGGGCAAAAGGTGTTCTGGAATAAAAGGACACAGTAGAGGAGACACCGCACTACTTGGGCTTTAGACAGTGGAAGTCTGTGTGCTCCAAGATGACTGGGCTAATCTTTTCAGCTATCTCTGTTAACAGTCAAAGCATAAGAATATAACAAAATATGCTGCATGGCAAAGAAAAAAAACAGGTGGGATAGTAAAAGTGATTTGGGAAGAGCTGGGGGAAGTGAGTTCACACAACTCCACC